CTTGGGCCAGTGAAGCAACGTCCTCCACAACTAGACTGAAGAACAAAACAACAGCAACTTGTCTGTTCCCCTTCCCCCAATTCCCCAGCACTGTTCCCAACCCCCAATTCCCCAATAAAAATCTTAAAAAAAAAAACTGGTCAGAATAACCTTTGGACTGGGGCACTGTATCTCAAACATTTGTCTACAAAGATAATAAGAAAGCAGATATGACTACCAGACTAAAAATTAAACATATTCTTAAAAAAAAATAGTAATATCTATGTGGTATATAGATATAATAATACCTATGTGGTATATAGATATCGTAATATCTATATATGTGAAAGTTCCAAGGCTGTGTCCAAAGATCCATGGCTCTGACTATAGCCATAATCTAATAACCAAAGCCTCACTTAGATAGGTGGTGTCTAGAGGATGGAGAACTAAGCTAAGTCATAGAAAGCAAGGCAGGGCAGGACTGGACAAGGCCAGATACTCACCCTCAGGCCGGGCAGGGTCACGGTTGAGCACAGCATATCGAGGCAGATCAATACCTTCCTCCTGCAGGATCCGGTACACCTCCCTCCTGTCACCCCCCGGAATAAATTAGCTGGGAGAGGTGGGGGATGGTGACAATGGGCAGAGGCTGGGGATTTCATCTGCTCAGGAATTGGAGATACCAGGGTGCAGAACTCAAGGGGGTATAGGACAAATATTGACCATGTTTGTTTGACTATCCCTCCCAGAGTGAGTTCTCTGAACAGGCATAATCTCCAGGCCACCCATCCCACCAGCCAACAGAAAGCTATACCTATCTTGGATGTAATACTGCATAGCCAGGTCATTGATAAGAAAGGGGTTTCGAAGCTTGGAGTAAGCAACAGCTTTGTCCAGAGGAAAGCCTGGGATGGAGAAAGGAAATAAAGAGACCAAAGAAAGAAAGTGAAAGAGACAGTGAGAAAACATCAAGAGAAATGAGAAACGTATTAAAGCTACTAATTGTCACTGAGCTCCTCTACTCATCCATCCCATCCCTTATCCTTCTGCCCAACTTCCCAAGTCTAGAATGTCCAACAGGAAAAAGTAAAAAAGAAATTATTTTTAGGGTCCCTTCACAGACCCTTAGAGCTGTCCTGAGGTTCAAATATGGGCTTTACACTACCCACAGCAACTCCCCCAGGATGTAGGGAAAGCAAACCCCTTTGCGCTGCTCTCTGGTGTGTTAGGAAGAGCTGAAGTCCTCTTTACTATCTGACAATAAGAACCTCACTTCCCAGGCCAGCATTCCCAACACCATTCCTTCCCATTTTCCTTCACAGACCCTAACCTTTGGAGTGGAAAGAAATGAGGCAGTGGCAGGATGGCCAGTTTTCCACAGGTTCATTGAGGATCACATCTTCTCCCAGGATAATAACAGTCAGGTAGTCAAATCTGCAGAGTCGTTCTAGGATTTGGGTCATTGGCTTGGACTTGGATTTCTTGGTCATGGCACAGATGCCAACAATGATCTGAGGTTCAGGAGGCTAAGAGAAGAAGTGCCATCAGGAACTGAGGAACTTCCCACCTAGACCATCCCTATCAGGGAACACTGTCTTATCTTCTTAGGGCACAGAGTTTCTTGTCAGTACTTCAGACTATGGGGTAAAGGTTGACTCCTAACTTAGGTCTAGATTGGGGCACCTGTAGGGATTCCTACTGCCTACAGAATAGGAGCCTGTCCACAGTAGGAAATGTGTGCTCAGGCAGAAGAGCCAGAGAACCAACAACCTCGAGACAATATGGTAGGGGTTTCAAAGAGGGGTGATCCAACCAATTTCCACTGACCTTCCCCTTAATCAGGATAGGGCCTGTTTATGACAGGGAGTCTATGCATTTAGAAAGAACAGAGAGGTGTATCCATCCAATGGAATCTCAACTCTCTATGACAGGGGTCCCAACACCAAGTTACTTCATTTTCTCTGGTCTTACCACTTCATCCTCTTCATCCTCAAGGAGCTCGCTGTCACTCTCGTCTGTCCTCATGCCTATTCCACGGGTACCCAGCCCCTCATCTCCAGCTCCAAGGAAGAAGTGGGCTGTGGCACTCTCGCCCTCACTGGCCGGCAATGACCACATCGCCGCCGGAGCACCCACTCATCCCGCTCTGCAGTGGAGGATATCCCATTAGCTCAAAATCCAAGCCCAGTGGTAGTGGAGGGGAATGGGGCATGGGGAAAATAGGAGGGAACTACAAGGGAACTAGGGGAAACAGGGAACAAAACTATGGTAAGAAGGATCAACAGGAAAGGAGACATGTGGGCTATGACTTGAAATGACTAAAGATCCATAAGAGAAAAGCAAGTTATCCCTTTACCTCCCAGCTCATCCCACCCCCAGCCAGGAGATTGGTAAGAGGATCAGTAGATGAGCCCTTACAGTGTTGGCATGTCCCTGATTCTGCCAGCATGAAACACCATTAACTCCAGTAGCAAATGCGAAAGGCGGTTCCTCATGGGAGGCTAATGTCAATTCCTACGAGAAAAGGTTAAAGTAACATTTCAAACTTCGGATTCACTCCAAAATGATCCTAGCCCTTCCCCACCTCCCCACAGTAGTGTTGAACTCAGTGATTTAATTCAAGGGCAAAGCAATGAAAGAGCTCAGCCGTTTTTGCCTTAACCCCATCTTCATTCCTACCATGGATTAACTCAAAAAACATTTATGAAGGGCATCCTATGTTCTAAGCATTATCAGAATATTAAAATTCCCTATGCCCCCATCTCGCCTTCACCTGGTCCACCTTAAAAGACAGATGCCCAAGTCCAGAAAATCTGTTCAAGGAAATAGGTCTGGTGCTGGTTGTGAGGTCAAGGATACAGGCCATCCACACAACAGCCCTCAACCCATTCTCAAACTGAAATTTCAATTTCTCTCTACTGTTTCCTGGTACTACAGACCCAAAGCTGGTCCAGGTCAAGGTCCCTCAAACAGAAGCTATAGGGGGGAAAAAATCCTGCCTAGAGCCATAATTAGTGAGAATATCTAGAGATATTCCTGAGTCAGAACAACCTGGCCGTTCCACTTCTGTATACATACACCTAGAGTAATGATACTTAACCTATTGTGAATATGCTGTGCAAGGGATGTTTGGTAGGAGACATTTTTGGTTGTCATATCTGGGGGCGGGGAGGGCAGTGTGCTATTGGCATCTGGTGAGTCAACACCAGGAATGCTGCTAAACATTCTAAAATGCATAGGATATTCCTCCGCAACAAAGAATTATCCAATCCAAACTGTTACTAGTACCGAGATTAAGAAATTCTGTTGTTGAGAAACTCTTCCACATAAGAAGACATGTGCAAGAATGCTCATAACCTCACTGCTGGTAATGGGAAAAACTGAAAACAATTCAGATGTCACAAGTAGGAAAATGGATAAATACAATGTAGTGTATACAAATGACAGCAATTTAAAAAAATAAATCAAACAACATGTGCAGCTTCCAAATGCAAACCATAGAAATATTGGGTTGTCGGAAAAGTCATGATGTATTTTTTTGTTTTTCGTTGCAAAAATGCGTCACAACTTTTCTGACAACCCAATATATATTGTACAGCTGTCTGTATAAATAAAAACTATCACATATGTTTATTACTGTATACATAATTAGTAGAAGTATAAAAACATAGAATGGAAAGAAAGACATCCAGCTCATGATAGTGGTTAACTCTGAGGAGAAGGGAGAATGGCACTGAAAAGGATTCAAATGGAACTTCACAACTTTACCTATAATGTTTATTAAAATTTTTAAAAAATCTGAAGCAAATATACAAAAGGTTAACATTTGTTAATATTAAATTGTGGAGAGATGGGGTATCTGTTATTTCTTCCCAAAAATAAAAGTCACACATAAGTAATTTCCCACATTCTCCAAAAGTTCTCAGAAACACTGACCAATGAAAGCCACAAACTCCTTAAGTAAATGGATTAGTCGTATAGAGTTTTTAAATGGCCTTCAATAATTACGTTCTGTATTTTTATTTTAAACCCTTCCATTACAAGCGGGATTTGCCTTTGATTAGAAAGTTAGTTAACCTTTATATAGACCTTGACCTTTCCAGTCTTCACCATCTACTTGTCTCCCCTGCTCAACCACCATGGGGACACAACATTCTCCTTAGACAACATTTCCAGCTGTGCACTGGAGGCCTTATATATACACACACACCCCTCCTGATTAAGTCTATTTCTTTGAACTCCTTTTTCGTGACTTGACCCAATTTCTATGATTTGTGGCATTCCCAAGGTCCCTGTATAGTTTAAGCAAGCAGAATTTTGTTGCATTCTTTACCCTTACTCTGAAGCACGAGCTTTCTTTCATGTCTAAAATTCCTAACCTTTCACCCTTTCTTCCATTAAGTTCTTCCCAGTTTTCTACTGAATGTACAGTCTTGTTCTTGTAATTCTATTACAACTCTATAACAGAGGATGGTAATAGAATGGGGAAGGACAGTCTGCTTGCCAGAGAGATGCAAGGTCTAAATTCATAGTTAACAAAGCAAAAATAGAAGCCTGACAGAAATAGCTATGAAATAAGCCAGGATTTATTTAGATGTACCTCTGGGAGAAGCTGGGGTTTAACGTGGTGTTCCAAGAGCCATTCCCATTTTCAGTCCTCCTCTCCCCACCCCCTCTCACCCAATACTTTGTTGCAAAAGAAAAGAAAATGTCAGACTCTACACAAGGCTAAAGGACAGTCTGACTCTGGCCTGAATCCTCCCGGAAGGAAAAAAGGAAGGGAGGAAGGAAGGAAGGAGATAAGTAGGGAAGGATAGAAGGAGCGGCAGGTGGGTAATCTTCTCAGGACTATCTATGTTAAATAAGATCTGGAGAAGGGGTAGAAGGGAGGTAAAGTGTGCAACTTCTTTATCCGTTAGAAGGTAGGGCTGCTTGTAGTAGTCCTCTAATTTCCTTAATCGCCATGCATTTGATGGAGGGCTCCATCAAGGGTTAAGGGGGAACATCAATACTGAGTCCAGGCAGGCATAATTCCAACAGAGTGAAACTCCTCAGGCCATTAACACTATCTCCTTCCCACCTTCTACCGTGGACCCCTTAGTTCCTTCTTGATGCGATTTTTAATCCTTCATAGATATCCTTATTCTGACGCTGATGAACTGTGCCGATGCCCTGTTCTTAGTGTCAACTCCCTCGTGCTGCCTTCTTTCCCCAACTTGCGAAAATGACTCTTCATGGACTCCCCTACACCACTCCCAACACTGAGTGCTGCCCCCCTCCCCTATCACTGATCAACTAATCCAATTCATAATCCAACTAACATCACACTCACTGGTTCCCCAGCATTCAACAGTCCTTCAAACCCTCCGATGAGTCACCACACTTGGTAACATATTTATAGGGAAGCCTCAGTGAGTCCCACTAAGACTGCCTGAGACCCCTGCTTTCCTCACACTATCCCTCTCTCCAGACTCACCTTCTCTTTTTTCTGCAACAATCCCTTCCTCAAGCTGATCCTCCAGTGTGACTCCACTCCCACCCCTCCTCACACAGACCTCTCCACCCCGACCTTCTCCCACGCCGACTCCTCTCCTCACGCAGACCCTCATAAGCCCGCCTCTTCTCTCGCCGACCCCCTCCTCCGTCCTCTCTTCACACAGCTCGGAGGCACGAAAACCACCCTCCCATCCTGACTCCACTTAGCCTTTGCCCGCCCCCGCCTTCCCCGCTCACTCTCCCTACGCTGACATTGAGGCCTCTTCGCTGGGTTTCTTTCCGCAGCTGCCCCCAGCGGGTACTAACCAAAGCCTTCATCGCCAACCAGGCCCACTCTACCCAGCCCACCCCCTCAGATACCGCCCCCGGCCCTCACTCACCCGCCTCCCCGCGCTCGCACAGCCGAACCTGCCGGCAGCGACACCTGACAGCGGCCCAATCAAAGAGCGACTTCTCTGCGGCGCCACCAATCAGCGGAGGGCGCGCACCGGCACCAGAGTCAGGCTGCGTTGGCCGGCGCTTCTGCGCGGAAGAGGGTGGCCCCTAGTGGTTCTGGGGAGAAAGTGCAACCTGATGCTCCTCTTCCTCGGATTTCCTACTGCGTCGCTACAATCCAGCTGCTGGGTGTAGACACTTGCCAAAGAGACGAAGAAGCGGGGAGAAGCGAGATGCAGAGGAAGAGGCAGAGTTTGTGCCATTGTACCTTCTAGAGGACAAAACCAGGCAATCTGTTTGTTTTGTAAAACAAAATGGGTTATGATATACGTAGAGATCCAATAAATATAAGTTAAAAATGTTAACAAATGTGGAGAAGTGAATAGGAAGACTGGAGATGAAAACAGAGACAAAGGGAGAAACAGATCAGGAAGTAAGAGAGGGAACAGAGAGTTATTTATGGAGGACTCAAGAAAATGGATGGACATCGAAGACTGAGTAAGTTGATCCCTGTCTCCACACTCTGCTTGCTCTCTACCCTCTAGACTTGTTTGACTCCTTTGATAGCTTTGAAGCCTTGGACAAGTCACTAAACTTCCCTCAGCCTCTGTTTTCTCATCTGTAAAAGAGTGGGATTAAAAAAATCCTTAAGGGGGGCCGGCTGAGTGGCTCAATTGGTTAAGAGCTTGCCCAAGAGTGCGAGCTCTGAGCAACAGGGTCGCCGGTTCGATTCCCACATGGGCCAGTG